AGCTTAAATAAAGTACTTCAATTTCTTACAGCTTGGTAGGAAAGGTCAATGTGAAACAATTATTGTTATGAGGGGGCCTTCAAATTGACATTCTAATATTTTTAATCTGAGCTCTTCTTAAAAATCGTTAGGAATTTTAACTCTGAGAGAAAAATGTATTTATAAATTTGAATAACAGAATAACACAACGTCCCATCAGAAGGAATGGGAATCAGAAGGTTACATTTTCACTAAGTAATTTCATACCAAGGGCAACAATTCTGTTGAGTGATTTATCTCCAGGTTTGAAAACCTGCCAGCTGTAGTCACCACATAGTTAATCATCACATCATAGTTATCTGCTGTGTTTACAAGCAGGAACCAATTCTCCAAAAAATTACAAAAGGATCTACTTCTGGATCTCCTTGTGTTCCTATGTTGCTGCTATTATTGCAAACATTTTTTTTTTCAGGCTTTCGGAGGAACAAAATAGAAAAACATTTTATTTATTTTTTTTCTACTGAAAAAGCAGTTCTAAATTAGCCCTTGCATCTAGAAAGTAAAGTATATATCAGCACAATGATCATTTTAAGTAATTTGCCATTGGATCTCCAATAAAAACATGCAATAAATGACTAAAAATCATGTCACTGAAATCTGCTGTCACCGGTCAGGCAATTCAGCATTCCGGTTTCTTCTATGCTTCAGTAGTCGCAGGATCTAATACCAATAGTTAGAAATAAACAAAATCAAAAATATATCTGAAAGCAAAGCTTTGATTTTACACTATTAATGGGAGAGGGTCATTTTGACCCTTTATCTTTCGGCAGAGATGCTTGACATGGCATGTTTCCTACAGATTATGGGTCACTTCATAAACACCTATTTCAATTTAACTCTTAAGATGTGAAATGTGATTTGTGCACATTTACTCCCATATAAGTTGATATATTTTCCTTTGCAGGGAAACATGGAAGTTTGGTGAGCATATACAGAAGAAGACACAAGGTTATGGGATAAGCAGAAGGATTTTTCCACCCTGAAATACATAAAAAAAGAAAGCAGGAAAAGCAACAAGACAGGATGCTGAAGCTGACATTAGGCTAAAGCTGACATGAAAAAATCCATTAATGAAATAACAGGGAATTAGATATTGAAGTCTGACAGATGAGGAGCAGTTAATGGTTAGTGAGATTAAATTAATAAAAATAAAAACATAGTAATCCAACATATTGTGTAGTTTAGCCATTAAAATGATTAGGTGGGAGAGAAGCAACATTATCTTTTATGTAAATAATGAAATGTTACAAAGGTGGCTTGTTCAGATAATTACATTAGTGACAGTGGCTGCTGCAGCAGTAGAGCCCACAGAGGTTGTTAGCACATCATCAGGCCCAGCAGTGGATATGTAGGTAGAGACAAGGCTGAGCGTAGGCGAAGGCGTTGGGGAGGCACCAGGTGAGTCCAGGCTACAGATCTGAAGCTCATCAAGCAGACCTGCTGTGGATGATGAGTAGTGGCTGAGCGCTGACACTGTCACGGGGGAAGTCGCCGGTGACACACAGCTACCAGTGCTCATGTTGCTGAAAGCTGTGATGCTCTGCCCACTGATTGTTCCAGCTTTCATAACAGCTCCGCTGGAAACATACGGAGCGGGTGACGATAAGGCCTTGGGCATTAAGCTTGACTGGTAGTCGAGAGACTCGGAGCTCTGGCAGCGAAAGGGGGAGTGCCGTGCTGAAGGGTCAGGGGAAGGAGGCCCCTGGTGTTGGAGTAAGAGGAAATTTGTGGGAGAGGGAGGAAAGGAGGCGAGTGCTTAGTTACATCACTTATTAGCTTGAGTGTCAAAAAGGGTGGAGCGAAAACAACATTTAAGGTTGGCAGATGGGGAATTCAAGCTGCAGCAACATGTTTAAAAAACAAAAAAATGCTGTACATTCAAGACGTATCATTAGTATGAGTTTTTGCACAAGACGACAAATTATTCTTCAATTTAATGAGACAAATATGTATATTTGGTTAATAACAGACGTACAATAAACATGATTAAGAATCACAGTATAGTTGGTCGAATGGAAGCACCAACACAACACAACTAAAAAGCAGAAAACACAAGTTGCATACAAACCAAATTGAAATACAGGATAGCTACCTAGTGATGTCCTGATAAGCTGCACCTTTTTTTCTCCATCTCTGTCATCCAGTAAGACAGGCTCTTTGATTAGACATCTCCAAACAGCTTTTTGTTAAAGTCGTATTAAATTACCTTGATCCATTCAGCTATAATTTTTAAGACATCGCCTTAGATTATTTCAGCTACATTCTCTCCCAAGCTGAGCCATATTGGAGTAAAATGTTGTAGCTTTTGAATGTAGGAAGTTCATGGACACGGTGCGGCCCACAACATCATGGGCAATGGTAGGAACTTGGAATATAAATAGTAACTATTAATGCTCACTAGTTACTTTCCCCAAAAGTAATGGAATCAATTACTCAGTTACTGCACAATTAGGGTAACTAGTTGCTAGGTAAAGTAACAATGCAGTTACTTTATATCATTTAAAATTATCAAACTGTTATTGGAACTATATGATCGGGCATTTTATTACAAAACAAAGTTGTTTGAAATGATCTAATAAATCAAATAAGAGATGGTAGGGCTGGGCGATATAGAAAAAAAGCTTATCGATAAAAAAAATGCATATTGATCGATATCGATAATTATTGACAAGATTTGAAACCATATTTTATGTGCAGCTCTGCCTGGACATTTTATGATATTGCTAAATGATTTAATTTTAATAAAGAACACAAACACAGACTTCCAATTAAATCTTTATTTAATCAACTTTTTTAACCATAACAGAATTGTTTTAAAGAAAAATAACTTAAGAGACCTGAGTTAAGTTATTAAATACTGACAAAGAATAAACTAAAGTGACCAGAAAAGTGACCCCCCCCCCCCACTTTGTTTTAGATATTAAAGAAAAACAACTTAAAGTCTAGCTTATAATCCTAAACAGGGATAGCCTCATTATCTATTTATTGTTGGCTTCAAAGCTAAAGCCTAGACTCAGAGATTCAGCATTTGTTTGTTTCTTTAAATGGTGAATTTCTGTTACATTTAGTGACTGACATGGAGCAACAAACATTTCTGTATATTGCTGGTGAAGGTTCTCAATCATGCAGGTCATAGTCATTCCAAAAAAGAAAATTAAAAACAATCAACTTGAAATATTTTCCAAGTTTGAAGACATTTTGCTTTTTCAATTCAAGATGTCAGGAGAATACCAAAATCTAAAAAAACAAAACAAAGAAAAACCTAAAAATCAACGCTATTCCTGGCATTTTTAATTGAAAAAGCTTCCTGGCTAGGAAGCTAAATGACTTCAAACGTGAAAACAAAGTCCAGCGAATTGTCTTTAATTTTCTTTTTTTGGAATAACTGCCTGATCATTATAGCTGCTAGAAACGAAATAAGCAGGGAACATTAAAAAGATCCCTCAAAATCTGCAAATAGTCTAAATAACTATAACAACCAATGGGAAGGAACCATTAGAACAGCGAATGACTGATTGAAACCACAGCAATTTTACAGCTTTAAGTCATTTTTTGGGAAGCATCAATGTGTTAGCACGTGTAGCGCATTAACCTGGGATAAAAAAAATGATAGGTAATCATTGGGCAAAATGCTGAAAAAGATTTTAAACATTTTTATTTGAGCCTTCCAATGTTAAAAAAACCTAAACTTATCATTTTAGTTTAGATCTTTAAGGAAGGTCTGAGAGAACTCAGGTAAGGATTATAATCTTGTTTTAAAGGGACATTGTGTGAGAATTACTGCCATCTGGCGGTAAAATTATCATCTGGTAAAATGCTGAAAAAGATTTTAAATTTTCATTTGATTCAAAATGCATCACAACTTAGGACTCACATCTCATAATAAAAATACAGCTAAAGGATGCATGTTTTCCTGCTTAGTATTTGCCATACTTTGACTATTATTAAGGCATTGACACCAAAATAGGATATTCTTGTAATGCATTTATTTTTTTCATTTTAATGTTAAAAAGACCTGCAGCACATCTTTATACTAGTATCAAAGTATCAGTCCTAATGGACACTGACAAGGAAAACAAGTCTGTTGAGAACATTTCTAACTTTAACATTTCAATGCACCCATTTTGTTTCATTAAATATTTGCTTTTAATTAATTATTATTTAGGGGTGTAAATATCTATCTTTTTTTTATTGATGCATCGATCCAAGAGCCGATGCATCGACACCTCTGCAAGAGTATCGATTCGTGTGCCTGAGTAACAACAAGCAAATACGTCTACAAAATTAAACTTAACCTGCAATTTAAAAATCTTATCACTTAAAAAAAAAGTAGAGAAATACATTGGTTAAAAACAAACTGAACCAATGGAAAATAATCGGGTTCTTAATATTAAAGAGAATACGACGAATTAAACTTTAGAAATAAAGCTATGAACAAAATTTACAATATCGATAAAAATTAACACCTACATGTCAAATTATCAACAACTTATCTATATATAATGGGGTAAATAATTACTGAAAACAAGTAAACTGGAAATGAGATGCCAGGAAATCGCTGAATTAGCAATCACCAAATAACACATCCGTTAAATATACTGTGAATACAAGGCGTGTTAGTACAGTTATATAGGCAAATTAATCACAGTTTAGAACCATTAAGGATAAACAGCGTTAGCCTGTGACAACAATAACATTAGCTAATACCGCTAGCTGGATGCTAGTGAAACAACTGTTCACCTAACGGTAACCAAACGACACAGCGGTAGCTAAAAAACTTTTATGATGAAAAATATTTTAAAAAGTAACAAAAGAAAACGTTTCAAGTAAAAACTAAAGCGAACATCAGCGCACAAACCTTTAGTTTTCACACAGCGACCATGGCTACAGCCTCCATTTGCTAATCCTTTCTTTTCTGACGAACTAAGCTGTTCTCGCGAGACTCTAGACAACGCGAAAAGAACTGCCATCCGTCACATGTCATGTGACCTGAAGTCGGAAGTTCTCACGTCAATGAAAACAATCACTCTCTTTTCCTTCAATCTTGCCTCTTTTGTGCATTTTTTCTCCGATAGCGACTCATTTAGCCATGTCTTTAAGCAACGTAAAAGACACTAGCTTCTTGGGGGGCAGAATACCACCAGAAATAGAGTCGATGTCGAAAAATCTGAAGGATGTGGATCAAGAGTTGTTTAGAAAACTTCTCAAAGGTAAATACAATACAATAAAAAAACAACATAATTTGTTTTACAAAATGATCTTTGGGCTACTTTTACGCAGCTATGTTAATATATCTTGCAAAATAAACAAGTGAGTTTGTAATTTCTATTTACAAAAGAAAAGATCAGCTTCGTGTTGTTCTCTGTGCAGCTGTGGTCAGTGCACTGGAGGGAAAAGACTGCAGGGAGATCATGAAGTCGATCGCTGAAAGCAGTGTCATCCCACAGGAGAGGCTCAGTCACATCATCGCTGGGATGCACAGGGTGCTTTCAGAGGCCATCCGCCTCCCAGCGTCCTCACTCAAACAGGAGGTGAGTGTTCCTCTGAGGCAGGCAGATGGAGCTGCTGTGCTTTCAATTCAGTCACAGAAAACAAGTTTATATCTGTTTTTTGGTGAGGATTCTTAGTCGTCCAGGTCATAGTCACTCCAAAAACAGGTAAAAACAATCCATTGGACTTTGTTTCCAAGTTTGAAGATGTTTTGCTTCCCATCCAGGAAGCTTTTTCAATTCAAAAATGGAATTTTTTTATTTGAAAAAGCTTCCTGGGTGAAAAAAAAAAAAAAAAAAAAAAAAAAAAAAAAAAAAAAAAAAAAAAAAAAAAAAAAANGTGACGGCGTGCCTGGGTCCGCGAATGTGATTGGTTGGGAGGAAGTAGTGAGTAGCATAAACCTACATGCTAGGCTACAATGAGAAGGAAGGAAAACTGGTTTTCTTTATCGAACTTTTATCGACTCTCTTTTTTTCTATTGCGCCACACGTCTATCGATCGATATATATCGTTATTGAATTATCGCCCAGCCCTAAGAGATCAATTATTAAAAATGATGACATACCTAAAAAGGATCCATGTTAATCTACACCATTTTGGTTTGCATGGTGACATAAGTTTGTTGAGACACTCATGGCGATATATTTATGTAAATATGATTATTATGTTTAATGTTTAGGATAAAATGACTATAAAGCCTATTAGATGATTTAGAACTCAATATATTTCTGCATTGGAAATGTTTAACTTGCAGTTAGATATGTATAAAGCTAAAAATAATGCTTTTTAAATAATCTAACAAAAATGTACTTTGTAATGATTTGATGAATGTTAGGCACAAGAGAACTAAATTGGGACACCCCTTCTTCTAGCACCAACACTGTTAATGTTTCACATAGTATATTTTTGCAAATTCAACTAATGCAACAAGTGTGTAGCCTTTTAGTCACTCTTGGTGCTACCAAGTCCAAACACTGCAAAGACCAATAAGCAAACAGTATGCGTCTTTCTCTTATTGCACTGGATAGTCAGGTATGTACCAATACTTGTGCAGGCGAAGGTCTTGGTGGAACTGTAGGAGGCTTTGTCATCTCTTGCGATGGAGCTTGAGTTGAAGTCTGATTTGGATCTTGATCAGGGACCGTTACCTCCACTCTTGGATTTGAAGCCAAATATTCTGGATTTTTTTGATTTTCTGCACCCAAGTGGACAGAAACTGAAGTCCTCTGTGATGGGGGATGGGAACGGTTTAAAAATGCTTGTGGAGGGGAAGATGGTGGAGGGGAGCTTGAGGCTTCGGTTTGATGGTTAAGGTGAGAAGGGGGGTCCGGGATAGTGACAGGGGTGAGTTTAAGTGAAGAAACCTTACGCCTCTGTGTGCTGTCAGTGGCAGATGCACTGAAGTTGCTAATGTCATTTGCAGCTGTGGACTGATTAACCTGTTGGAGTGAATTTGCACTTGTCTCTGAGTAAGAGTAAGAGGATGTGCTGCTAAGAGTGTAGGACTCTTTTAATAGTGCTTTGTCATTCTTAGTCAATGTTAGCATTCCAGGACTAAAGTCATTAGCCAGATCAACGACTGAATTGTAGTGTGGAGGATTGGTGCCAACAGGCAAGAGGTTAAAACTCTTTCTCCTGGGGGGCGGCAGTGGTAAGGGACTAACATCCTTGTTAGCCAATCAGAAGCAGAAGCCATTGTAAGTTCAAACAAGTAGAAATAAGGAAGAAAACAAACATCAGCACAGAGATTCCATTATGAAGCTCTTTTAAGAATGTGTTCAAGAATACAAACACTTAGCAAAATCCCTTATTTCCAGCCATAATGACATTGACCAACAAATTACATAATTTTCACAATCCATAGAAAAAGATCAAATAATTTTATGTCACTCTAGAGTATGAGAAATGTACCTGTGGAGGAGACTTTTTGTCCTGTAGGTTGGGTCTGACACTCCGAAAGCCTTTAGCAGCAAGAGATGAATTACTGGCATCTCCATTCTTTAAACCATCAGTAGCACTGTGGGAACGCCAAGAATCTGCAGACCATAATAATATGTTTTGGAGGGTACTTGATTTAACACATTTCTCATTTAGTTAAGAGACATTTTACACCTTCTTTGGCTACGGTCATTGTGTTGTTTTTTGTTGTTTTTTTTCTAAATGGTTGAGCAACTTACCAAAGTCTGATGAGTGAGAATCATTACCTGAAAAACAGAATAGCAAACATATTCAGAATTGCCTCTATGATTGCTATGTTGAATTATGTCTCTAAAACAGCTGATCATTATCACGTTACATAAAAAAAAAAATTGTATTCGAGCTAAAGAAGTAATAGCAAAAGAAGAATGTCTGTGAGGTAGAGAAGCAAAGTGGTGAAAAGGAAGATTTAATAAAAGAACAGACCAAAGGAAAAAAAAAAAACTTTTATATTACTCTTTATATCACCATTACTCTGTTTTCATAGAGAACAAGACGGCATTGATTATAAATCTAAAAAAACAAGGAAAATGTTTAAATCTATTAGTCAAGAATTTATTTTAAAAGTGTTGTTTGTTTAAAGTATTATTTTGGGGGACTTTTTTTTTTTGCAGAAATAAAACCTGAACAAAAGCTTACAACATAAAACCAGTGAGATTGAGCAAAATCTGTTATATCCAATGCATAAAGTGGAATTACGCGATACAACACATTTCATTTAAATAATGCATACAGTAATCACCTTAAATACAAGAGTACATTATAAAGGTACAAGGAAGGCAAGAGAAGAAATTGCATTGCATTTCTATTATTGAGGTGCATAGACTTCAATGGATGTAAAACTAGAGATTTCACACAGAATCTTGTTTGACAATACATACTTTAGTTTCTCAACAAATATTAGTTATTTTCCTTTTTTTATTTTTTAGATTTATTAAAAAAACAAGCAAACAAACAAATAAAGACGGTGAATTAAAATTTGCACAAATAAATAAAATAGGCCCTCCCATGTCAAGATAAAGACCATAATACAATGTAAAAAATTAACCAGAATGTTGATAATCATTTCCTTATTTTGTTAGGACCCTTGTTGTCCTTTAGCAGTGCAACATTATTAGCTTTTAGTCTAGTAAACAAAGAGTAAAAAAAAAAAACAGTAACCCAAGTCATTCTAGAGCTCTAAGTAAACAGGACAAGATCAAATACTGTGCTTGAATTTGAAAGATAATTTCAATAATTTAAAAAATGTATTACTAGAAGATACAAATCTACATCAGTAGTCCAACTGAATGTATATTTTGATCTCCTCATGTGGCCATAATAAACGGAATCTCTCCAGCTATATAAATAGTGTACCAAGTTAACACTTGGTCTGCTTTCAAATAGCAGTAACTATGATCTTAGCGTCGTACTACTTGGTGGGAGAAGAATGCACTTCTCCAGAAGGCCCTCAGGATCAGCAGTTTTTTTCAATGGGAGACTTGGGACAGTTTGAGATTTTTTGTAGCAGCAGTTCAAATGCAAAATATAACCACAAACCTATCAAAGACCATAAGCTAGTTCCATAGAAGGAGATAACAGATCATTGGTTTTATAAGGCACTTTTATAAATACCTGTTGTACAATTCAGGGATCCACATCAGGTGTTGGACATGCCTGGTTTGTAGATATAAATTACAAAATGGACACATTTTTTTTTTTTTTTTGAGGTTCACAACCTTTGTGACTTCACTGGATAAGGTGAATCAAGTTAAAATGATTCAACAGTTTACTCTGCTGGTGTTTTCAACTGCATAAAGAAACTTGCTACTAATAGCGAAGGTGGAGAAACTAACTTTTCCAAAGCTGACACGATACAATCATCTTTTTAGAAGTTGAGGATACTCTTTAGACTGCAAGTTTCTCTAAGAATGGGGAATTATATAACAACTGTTCTAATTCACACTTCGCTTTTAAGAAGTGAAGAGTGCATCCGTGAGCACACAAAGATAAATTAGGTACTCATTTCTGTTGAAACTACCGTACATGTTTTAACAAGTAAACAGACTATGACATTAGCAAAAATAAACATTGAGGAGAGATTAATCTCAATGTGAAAATTTTTGTAAACTTTAAAAATCAAACTAACATTGAATTCTAAAAATTTCAATTATAGCTCATTTATGTAGAAGGCCAAGAATGTAGATTAAAAAAAAATAAATAAATAAAAAGAAATGCAAAACTGAACTAAATTTCACACACAAAAACATATGCCATCCAAAAAAAACTGTTTTACCACTCTATAGAGCCTTTTTCTTACAATGCAACATCTTAAGCATGTTATACTGTCACCAACTCCGCTCAGCTATAGTTTCACTAGAATTATAATTTTGTAATGTTTTAAAAGCTAAAATCTGTGTGTTTGCCAGTGTTAGTACCTGTGGGCAGATTTGGGGAGCTCTGGACCCTCTTCATGGGAGAGAGTATGAGTGACAAAGCCACACTTTTGCGAGCATATCCTCCGCTATCTGAGATTTCCAGCCAGGCCGGTGATCATTGAGCCATAAGCAGAAGCAGAAGCACACATGCACATGCACGATTGCAATAAAATCAACACACAAATACACAAATATGAACAGCGAAAATAAGCAGAGCAAAGCGCATGCATCTGAAAGGCTTACTTTATATTAAAGCACGCCAGTTGTTTGGTTCTGCATTAATTATAATTTTTTAATATTCAAGAGCCACTTGTTTGTTACATTCAGGGTGTATACAGGAGCTCTTACATTGTATTTAATATCTTTTAATACCTTTTTAATACAATCAAAACTTTTTTTAATGCAAAGATGACTGTTAGCTGCAACTATGGTTTAATCTTTTCACCTATAATGGAAAGTGACTTATTATAAAGGTGCTAAACTGCAAATTTTTAGTTTAATGGTTGAAGTGTGTGAGTGTATTAATGGTTAAAATTCTATCAAAAACAATTATTCATATAAAATGATTGTGTACTTTTTGTCTCGATGCATGAAGCAATGGTTCGGTTTTTTTAAACCTAAGAAAAGCTGTTTTATTGCCATCTGAATGAAGAGAACAGACTCTTTCTTTACAGCCATCTCAATGAATCAAATGAAAAATGGAAAACAGAAAAGGTTAACAGAAATGTGCAAGTTAAGGAAATTAACATTTAACATGAGCGCAACTCTA